GTGGTGGCACATGCTGGTAATCCCAGCTACTCAGGAGGCTGAGGCAGGAGAATCACTTGAATCCTGGAGGCAGAGGTTACAGTGAGCTGAGATTGCACCACTGTACTCCAGCCTGGGCAACAGAGTAAAACTCTGTCTCAAAAAAAAAAAAAAAAGAATTTACATAGGCTGACATTCATAGAGACAAAAGTAGATTAGTGGTTACCTGGGGCTGGGGGTAGATGGGGATTAACTATAAATGAGATAAGGGATCTTATTGGGGAGGATGAAAGGAATTTATGGTGAGAGATGTAACACTCTGTAAAGTTATTAAAAATCTTTGAATTATACACTTGAAATAGGTGAATTTTATGGTATGTAAAATATATCTTAAGTTGTTTTTAGAGAGATAGGTCGGGATTCCTCATGAATACAGAAAGCCTAGAATATTATTAAACTTTGCTTTTAAAACTAGATGAGATGGGAGTTCAGAATCATCAGCGCTGCGAGTGCCCTTAAAATGCTTCTGGTCTATCCTCCCATTTTATATAGAGAAAAACTAAGGCCCATAGAGGTTAGGAGGTTAAGTAACCTTTCTGAGATTGTGTAAGGGGATTGTATTGCTGGAGCCTCCTTTCAGGCTTCCCTGCACCATTCCAGCAACCCTGACGACCCCGGTGCAAAGACTCTTCCTCTGGACTCATGGAAAAATATAAGCACCTTTACAATGTTCACTTATGAATATGACAATTGAAATACCCAAGACTGCTCAGTGTGTGTTTTCAGGTTAGTGGATCTGTGCTGTCTAATGCGGTGGCATTAGACAGCTACCAGCCATGTGTAGCTACTGCATGTGACTAGTCCAAATTAGTACATGCTCTAACTGTAAAATAAACACAGATTTTGAGTACTTGGTATGAAGAATGTAAACTCGTTAGTAATTTCTATACTGATTACATATTGAAATATTTTAGATATATTGGGTTAAATGAAATATATTAACATAAAATGAGATGTGAATTCTATATACCTTCAAACTGTCACTTTGCCAGACTTTAAAACTGCCTCATTGTGTTAACTTTTACAGGTGTGAAAAGAATGATCCCTAAAAGTTCAATCATAATTGAACATAATTTTAATTCATTGTGAACATACACATATTCTTATAACTGATAAAATAGGAAACTTGAGAGATACTTTGGTCCATTTCCTTGATTGTTCTGATGAAGCCCAAAAAGAGTAAACTGCTTAAGGTAACATGGGGACTTTGTGTCAGAGCATTCAGATGAGGCCTAAGAATGCCCTGCATTCCTTCTAATATAGGGTGATAGATGATTTTTAAAAATGTATAAAGCATCTAAAGGCTGCACCTAGAATAAGACTGAATTAATGATTTTTTAAATTTACATAAAGGCTTTTTTCTTAAACTAGGAAAACCTCTGCATGTTATCTTCAATCAAACTAAGAGACAAGAAACACGTCTCTATTTTGGAAGGGAAATGGATGACTCCTATTCCTTTCATTATTGCTTTGAAAGAAGCTGGACTGAATATCTTCCCTACTAGATACTCTCATTTTTATGTTATTATAAACAATAAGGTAAGAATGAACCTTTCCAAATTTAATGCGGCAGACATTTAAAATGTTAGCAAGTATTAAATGTTATATAATATTATATAACCGTTTTATATATTCACTTATACAGTATTATACTTAGAAATAGATGAAAAGACCAGAAATCCAGGGTTCTCTTAAGTTTAATAATTTTCCCTAAGCAAATAAGGCTGTAATCTTCATATTGACAAATGGAACATATCCACAGGTGATCAGTTTAATGCAAAGGTAGTTTAAGCAATTCTCATTCTGTATACTTTTTTTCCATTACTGGATATTATGTAAGATTTCTTAAAAGAGTAAATATCTCTGCACTTTCCCAAACATGGTAAGTTAGGCAAAATTAAAAATACAAGGTCCACTAATGTACAAAGCCCACTTCCTTTAGTTTTTTGGCAGAGCCTCCATGTCTATGTACTGGAACTTCATGTTCCTCATAAGGCTTTACTCCAGTAGGATCCTTCCAAGTTAAACTGTGAGCTTCTTGAGGATGGGGCTCATTTCTTAATCAACTTTCATCCTTCTAGCATCTAGCATAGTCCTAGAATATAGTAGATGGTTAGTAAACATTTGTGATATACAAAGACACAAAGTAACTTCTAATCATGAAAAGTATATGTGTAGGCAGAAGAGTTCTATATTCAAGAAGATTAATGAATGTATCAAAAGATGACAATATAAGTAGGTATTTGTATAACATTTAGAAATAAGTGTATGTATATATACGCATAGGAAAAAACCCTTGGTTTTAGTAACTCAAATTGCCTGTTACTCTACAATGTTGAATATAGTGTTCTCTCATGCTTTCAGAATATTCTATGCAAGGAAATATTTTTTTCTGAACACCTACATGCTAGGCACTATTTTAGATGATTAGAATACATCAATGAATGAAACAAAGGTCCTTACCTTTGTTTTCCTTCAGAGTCGAAGGAAAAAAAATTAAAAAATAAATGATTAGTATGTTAAGGTGAAAAGGCTATGGAGAAAAGAAAAGGTAGATCAGGAATAATGGGGTTGAGGCCATATGACGCCCATGTTAAATAGGTGTCAGGGAGGGCAGCTCTGTGAGAGAGAACACTTGAGCGAAACTCACAGGTGGGGACTTTAGCCACATGCATATCTGGGGAAGCAGCTTCCAGGTAAACAACTGGAGCAAGAGCCCTGCGGGAGTGGCCTGGTGTGCTAGAGGTTTGGAGGAACACCAAGGAAGCCATGGGGCTGGAACTGAGAGAACAAAGGGAGAAGAAAAAGAGATCAGCAGTCAGGAGTAGGGATGCCAGAGAGCCTTGCAAGTCGTTAACTTTGGATTCTATTCTCAGAGAAAGGGGAAGCTATTGCCCAGTGCTGAGAGGAGTCATGCACTCTGACTTAAAATTGTAAGTGGATCCTTCTGTGTTGAGAATAGATCGAAGGAGGCCAAAGATGGAGGTAGATTTGGAAGGCTCAAAGATCAATTCTATTTGTTTATATATTGACAGGTTCCTTTGGTAGAAGTGAAAGCTTATCGACAGATGGCCCTACTAAGTTCTGCTTTTGCATTTGGTTGGAGCAAGTGGAACCTACTATGTAATTCTACAAAAGTTGTATTTAAGGTATAATATGTAAAAACCCATAAAACTACTTTGTCCTCCAAAAGAAGATAAAGTACTCAAAGACTAAATGAATGTAGACTATGGCTTCCCCTCTTAGAAAGGTTAAAAAAAAATTAACATTCAATATGGCGTTTTAAAATTTCAAGATTTTTTTTGGTCAAAAATATAAATCCAAACTATATAAAGTTTACGCCTTTGTTGCCCATTATGGTATCAATAATGGACTTCAAACCAGGCCAGAGTCTTTGTATCTCTGCAAATTGACTCCAGAACAAATGGAAGCCTTGCTGGGTGCAGTGGCTCACACCTGTAATCCAGCCACTTGGGAAACTGAGGTGGAAGGATCGCTTGAACCCGGGAGTTTGAGGCTGAAGTGAGCTATGATCACACCAACTGTACCCCAGCCTGCACAACAGAGTGAGGCCCCCATCTCTTAAAAAAAAAAAAAGAACAAACAGAAGCTTTTAACATGAATATGTCTGTGACTTGTAAGCCCTCTCCTTTGAGAAGGTTAGTCCTCCAACTTAACTTTCTGATGCCTTCTTATTATCAGATAGTAGTAAGTATATTTTATCAAATTCCAAAAGCTGACTGATGAATGCTTTGGCCTAAACAAACAACCATATTTGTTTTTCTTGTTTGTTGTGTTTCCCCCACTCAAAGCTCCTTGAGGGCAGGGCTTTTTTGTTGCGGTTGTTATTTATATATGCTGTATGTCTATATTTTTTCTGTGTTTTCTTTCCCTGTTACATCACCAGAACTTAGAACAGTACCTCACACATGACAGGCACTAAATATTTGTTGCATGAATTAATACAGGTGGATAAGCTCCATAATCACCAAAATATAGTGTCATGGTTTTTCAATACCCAATAATGGAATACTGTACTTACATTGTTTCTTTTAACCTTTGCAATTTGGGGGATAAATTGAACCCTTCAATTAATAATCTACTTCCAAAATGTTGAATAGAAGAGGAATTATTAACAAGTTGCTTGAATTTCCTTTATTTTTTTTAGGTGAGGGAACACCTTACTGAAGAATGTACTGAGACTCCTAATTGGGCCATTTTAATGTTTAGTGGTGACAGGGCACAAAGACTTAAGATCACGGAAGAGAGTGAGGCATTTTCTGAAGCACTTAAAGAAGAAACTGAGTTTCATTCTACTTTATATCACATGCTGAAGGATTGTGCTTCTAAGGAAGCAATGGAGAAAGTCAGGAGTTCCAACTGTCAGTTTGTCAACTCTGTGTGCCACATGCTGCTCTCTACCAGATTGCTCAGCTATTCCTAACCGCCGCTTACGAACTGTGTTCAGTATGAAGAACCAAGCATGGTGAAAGACACTCAGGTGGTTCTGCAACAGAATGTAATGAGTGAGTTAATCCATTTCAAATAGACTATTAAAATTTTCTAATCAGCATTTTCTATTCATTTTATTTTAAACAAAGTATTTTTTTTCTTTTGAATAGTTGGCCTGATGAGAATTTTAACTTTCACTCTATGAAGATTTAAATGATTCTTTATTTCAGTAAAATTTAACAAACAATATATAATATTTCTTCCTTAAAAAGCTCATTCAAAGATCATAGACTTCTTCCCCGTTGTATTTTAGTTGGGGAGATAAAGGCAAAAAGAGGAAATGTAAGCTTTCTTACAGTCATTCTGAGAACCTCTGGTTTCATGCTTTACTTTCCCAGCTAAAAGTTACTAATTTACAAAGTTCAGATACTGAAACTTCAAAATCAAGATCCATTTATTAGGATGTCCTGCTGTCACACTGGTGGTGGCCCATTGTGTCGGAGTCTGGTAAATGGCCACAAGATATGTTCTAGGGACGTCCATGAGTCCTCTTCCTGTGTGGGAGCAGCATCCACAGACTTCTGGAAGAATCGGCCTGTGAAGAAGCTCATCAAAGCTGCAAACAGTACAATGAATGCAAGAGAAAGCCAGACGGCCTTATTAGCCTTTCTGATGGAGGACTTGAGATGTGTTGCCCAGGAAGCTATCGTATCATAACTATAAGGAAAACAAACAGGATTTGGTAATCAGTAATTTGTCATTAGAAACATTCCTTTTGCTAACAACACCAGTCAAGTGATCTGCCCTTCAATCTACATATTATGATTTATCATTTTGGTTTTGGAAACAATCTGCCTTCCACTCTTTGTAATTATTAGGATTAAAGAAATGATGTGCTATGATGAGAATCTGAAAATTATGTGTTATAGGCATTATCTTCCAGCAAGTACATACAAGTATCTCATTCTTTGAGCAAGGTAAGGCAACATATTCCTACAGTGGAAACAAAAATGTTATTTGCTGGGTAGAGGGGAGTGTATGTGTATGTACTTGTGTATGTATATAATATTCCTCCTTTATTCTTGTGGGTATGCACCACGACCTCCAGTGGATGCCTGAAGCTGAAAATAGTACTAAACCCTATATATACTGTTTTTTCCTATGGATACATGCCTATAATAAAATTGATTTTATGAATTAGGCACAGTAAAGATGAACAGTAACATAGAATAATTTATAACAGTATGTTACAGTAAAAGTTATGTGAATGTCATCTGTTTCTCAAAATATTTTACTATATTCACCTATTTTTGGATTGCAAAAGTGAAACCACAGGTAAAGGAGGACTAAAATTTAAACTCCATTTGTTTTAAAAACATCCACCAATAATATGTATTACACCATTTAAGTCTTTGAAAAATAGTTAACCCTGTGCTAGATACTACTAAGATTTTACATTTGCTAATTCATTTAATCATAACACCAACACAATGACATGGGTACTATTAGCATCTTTATACAGAAATTGTTACACAAAAATGGATGAACTTGCCCAGGTTACACAGCTTGTTAGAGGGCTGGAATTCGAACCTAGGCTGTCTGGTTTTGGAGTCAAGTTCCTATAAACTCTCCTGCCGCCTTTGTAACATAGGTTCAAGGAAAACTAGACATACTAAATGTGTTATTCATATTAAATGTAGCAATTTGGCATCTCTTTTAGTAATTTGGTTAAGATTAATACTGTCAGCCCTGCCTCATCCTTTCCCATCCTACTAAAATGGTAGAATTTTCAAGTAGATAACTTACACTGAAGAGGCATCCCGCCTTGATGGATGATTTTTCTTTTCAGAAAGACTTGGCTTCCTTGTCCTTTCTACTATTTCTTCTCCAGGTGGCTCTGAGTCATCTTTAGTTCTGTAAGTAAATATTGTTTTTAATATTTGAAACTAAGGACATGCTATAATTATTCATGAAATACTGGTAATCTTACTGTAACTCAAGAGGCTTACAAATATTTGTTCTGTTTTGGGGAAACTCAATAAATATCTAACTCTAGAAGTCAAATCACCAAATTTATAATTAAAACATTTATAGAAATTTAATTTAAAAATAGCTTCCTATATTTAGAAAAATAATGTTTGTGTAGAAAGTTTAGCCAAATATATATAAAAAAGGGGAAATTTAAAAAGAACATACAGAAGTTAGTCTCACCGCTCATCATTAACCAATGTTATTACTATGATTTCTTTCTCTGCATATAGATATGGTGTGCATATTTAACCATACTTTATTAAACATTTTAATCTCAGCACTTTGAGAGGCCAAGGAGGGGGATTCCTCCCAAGGTTCTCAGGACTCCAGGGATTGCTGGAGCCCTGGAGTTGGAGGCTGCAGTGACCTATGGTTGCACCACTGCACTCCAGCCTAGGCAACAGAGTCAGAATCTGTCTCAAAGAAAACTATATGTATGTGTATATATTCTACACACCCATGTTTATATATTATTCATATTTATATAATATATATTATATAAATGTGTATACACATGTAAATGTGTATACATATATTTTATATAATATGTAAACGTAATACATTTTATATGTGTACATATATAAATGTGTGTGTGTGCGTGTGTATATATGTATATATATACACACACACACACACCTTTTTAAGAGACAGAGTCTGACTCTGTTGCCTAAGCTGGAGTGCAGTATATATAAATATATGCTATATATACACATATTTATATATATACACTTATATATTTACAAAGTTTATAATATAAAAATGTGTGTATATATTCTATATGTATATACAGTATATAATAAATATATATGTATATGTGTATATATTATAAATAGGTATAATATATATTTCATATATGGGTGTGTGTATAACAAATGTGGACACCATATTTCTTTTAAATTTTTATTTAAATCTTTTCTCATTATTTTATTCCTTTCTCTGTATGATTTCTAATCAGTGCTCACTTGGACTATCATCAGAGTTCATTTGTTTTCTCTGAAAATCTTAATTTAAAAAGCATTTTTGAAAATATTCTCAATGAAAAGTTAGTTAAATTAATATTCAGTGAACTGGGAAATAGCAAGTGGATTGACTGTATTTGAAATCAAATTATATTATTTAAAGAGGTGTTCTTACACCTAAATAAAACATAATTGTTCCACTATATTTGCTGATGAGTTCCTAGTTGGATTTGAATTTTGAAATCTCAAGCTCTTAATACCCTGAGAATTGTCAAAGAGAAATGTGTCTCAAAGATTTATTTTCATTCAAACATCTGTAGGAAATACATATGATAGACTTTAGTTTTTAAAGAAAACAAGGTCCAAAAGCCAGAATAAATTGCATTTCTGTAAGATTCTCAAGGTTTCAGTCTTTTGTTTACAAAGACTTCCTTAGTAGAAATCATATCATACTAACACAAAGCAAAAACTAGATTATCTTTTGAAAGAGACTCTTGAACTGACTTTTTTTTTTCCAACCAGCTCAAAAAGATTCATTATGTTAATTCTAAATCTGAAAAGACTTTGTAACACATGCAATAGGCTCCCAGAACTTAAAAACTCCGAGGGGTTGCACCATGTTGTGCTCAACTTATCTTTATATTCCTTAGAAGTGAGCAGAGTGTCCATCACATGGTAAGCACTCATGAAAATACATAAAATAAACATAAAATCATTTCCATAAGATCTGTCATTTTTAACAGATGTAAAACTGAGACCAAGTAAGCTTAGGCAGTTTTTCCAATGTCACCCAAGGACTCAGAGGTAGCATTTCTGCATATCCTCCTTCTTGCCCTCTACTTTACTCTATAGAAGTATATTTGTTTCATTTACTATATACAGAGATAGCAATACAGAATTTCATGTTTCCTCTACTCTTCATTTACATAAATGGAAGATAGATGCACATACATGTTATATATCTGCCTGTATGTTATATAATACATGCGTTATATATCTCATGTCTTTAAAAATATATAAATAGATGGACATTTTACTTCTGTTGCTCTTTATTGACCTTTCCCCATTATGGACAGACACCTGGACAGGAAAAAAAATTACCTTCACAAATATGGCAAATTCCAGGGTCTTTTCTAACGTAAGTCCTCAAACTTTGCCATTCTGAGAGCTACGAGAGTGAATGTATTATTGTGCTTTACAGTTTATAAAAATTTTTTACAGTGAATTATCTTTTTAATGATACAGCATTATTTTATCTCCATGGAGTAAAAGTTATTCCCATTGTTTATGCCCCAGTTTATGTCAGGTTAATAAACACACTGAGCTTCACCTACTTTAGTTCACATTTTTCTTCTTCAGCATCTGCCCAGGAATAGGTGCTAATAAATCGAGGTAATGAGGGACGGTGTTCACTCTGCTTTGACCCCAAAATACGCCTAAATAAAGATGATTATAGCCACTTGTCAAATCAAATACATCTGTAGCCATTATCAGTTTTATTTCCTACTGCTTACATAAATACAAAATTATATGTCCTATTTTTTTTTCTTGGCACATTCACAGATCATAATAAAAAACTTCATAATTATATACCAATTTGTCTAATTATTCTGTTTACACTTTGTACAAATCAAATGTTACTATATTACTTAATTCGAGCACTCATTTAGTTTGGCCAAAGTTTAAAATAGTAAGGTTTCCAAAGAGGAACCATAAAATTACACTTACCAACTGCTTGACCTCCTACTGAATTGGTCATTATTTTCCATCCCAGCCACCTTTAGAAGTTCAAGTGTTAAAAGAAATGATAAAATACACGTTTATATTTTCTATTTTATAATACACTTTTATATTTCATATTTTCATATGAAAATGAATTAAATATAATACACGTTTATATTTCATATTTTCATATGAAAGTGAATTTCCCCTTGACTAAGAATACTTAGGAATTATCTTACCATTCCTGCAGTTCCAATATTTCTGGGTAAAGAGGCAATAGTCACTCTTCGAAGAGAAGATGGCTAGCAGAAGGAGAAAAACGTACATTTAGATAACTCTCAATAATTCATCATTGTATGCAATACCAGTGAATATCCTTGTACATGCACATCCATGTACTTGACCACTGCTAAGTTAAACAGTAGACATAACTTAAAAGGACCCTCTTGTGGACAAATTGTTTTCCAGAAATATTTTACCAATTTATATTCCACCTAATTCAATGTTGGATTATTATAATTTATGCCAATAAAACAAATATAAGATTCCTTGTTTGGGTTTGCAATTATTTGACTTCTATTGAACATTGCTTTTTTATGTTAAATAATCATGTATATATCTTCTCTGGGAACCACCCGTTTATGTTTACTATCTTTGTTCTGTATTAATTATTGTTTATGTTGTATTTGGCCTATGTTGAATCTTCATATTTCTGGCAGAAAACTTTTTATTGTTAATCCAGCCAAATCTATTTGTCTCTTTTGCTACCATTGCTTCTATGCTTAGAAAGATTTCTCCCAACTCAAGAGGAGATAAATATGTACCTACATGTATAGCTTTTTTGTTCATGGTTTCATTTTTTTCCATTTAAGGATTGCCATGTTTTAATGAATGAATGAGTTTCTTGAGATTTTTACAGAAAAACGTTATATAATATTGTGTGGCTCTTTAAGTACATCATCAGAATACAAAATTTTTTAAAATGTAATAAATAAACTAAGGAGGTTGCATGTGAATCATTTTCTTAAGCCACATCATCCCTACTTTAATTTCATAGATTAGTTGAGCATCAAGAGTATGAAATTGTGGCCCAAGAAACTTGGTTTCTAATCATGCTCCTACCAATACGTGATCATAACTGATCACTTAACTGCTTTATTTCTCTTCCCTTATCTGTGAAAAAGAGGAATTTGTATGGAATGATTTTAAAGTCACTTATTCAAAAATTCTATATATCTATGTAATCCTGATTTTTACACAGTGGCAAAAACTGCCAGCTGACCTTCAGTGTCACATTCTTCCTTCCTAGTTAATAATAAGCCTCCTGATTTTTAGCTAGGCATACAGCCTCCTAAAAAGAAACTGTACTTTCCAGACTCATATGCAACCAAGAATGGAAAGAGAAATGTTATTTTGGACTTCTAGGGAATGTCTTTACAGGGAGATGGAACACTTGTTGCTTCTCCCTTTTTCTTAGAATGAGATGATGTAATGATGAGGGCGTGGTGCCTGGATCTGAAGTAGACATCTTAGACCCGAGACAGAAGCCAAGGGCTGACGGAAGTGAGGCAGCAAGAAAGGAGGCTGGTCCTTCGGGGTTGCTGCTGTGCCATTGTTGGGTTACTTGTTTCCAACTTTAGTTTTATACAACAGAGAGAAACCATTATTATACTGACTTTCTTCATGCTGCCAGGCACACTTAATTAATACACAAATATAGCAGAATGCATAAAAGCATACTTAAACAAATATATCTATATGAATTTAAATCACTATTTTGTTATTTACATATAAAGGCCCGGAGCTTCAAATAACATTTTAAAACCATCTTGTAAGTATTTGATAGACATTTGTTAAGTGAATTAGTAATTACCTTGGAGTTTAGAGAAGCTGAACGTTTTTTAATTTGGCAGTCATCTGAAAGGAAAAACACATTTACACATTTTAGTTATTGCACATGCAATTTATGTTTAAGCAATGTCTTAATTCTTTAAAGGTAAAGCAAAATTCAGAAAAGATTTATTAAGACTTTAGAGACTACTGAGCAATGTAAGTATCTGTTAATCATTCATTTCATGCTTCGTAACAATTACCATCTTAACCAATGGAATACAGTCCTCCGTGTCTCTGTGGTGTCCACAGTGCCTAGCTAGCACAGAGTAGGCACTACCTGAGTGTCTGCTGGAGAAAGGAATCTAAAGTACTGTTCAGGAGAATATCAAATATGGTTACTGTTCTAGAACAGAGAACAGATTCTTGAAATAAGAATTCTCAGAAAAGTTCATATTTATTTTAAATAAAACTATTGTACGATTTATAGAAACAGTGTTATTCCCCATAGCCTCATATGTTTTTCTGTTTTCCAGTTTATCAATTAGCTTACTGAGCCAGGGCCATTCCTTCCTTGAGGAATCAACCATTGCTGATGAGAGCTCCCATTTAAGTGACTTCTCCTTAAATGGGAGAAATAACTAATGTATTATTAGTTATTTCTAATGTATAGAAATTCTAATGTATCCTCAATAGGGGAACACTAAGATCAACTTCATGAGTTGTATTAAACATATTCTGTCATCTCAGTAATCTAAATTAATAAATTTTGGTGTCATTACCAAAGAATTCTTCATGTCTCCCAACCTGTTTTCTGACACTTCACTTTTGGATATATAAATAACCGGAATTAATTATTTTTCTAATATAACCTTAACCTAAGAGTCTTATTGTACTAGTCATAAGACTGAGAGAACAAGAAAGAGGAGAATGTAAAAAAACATAACTAATACTATTAAACTTTTATTACCTTCATCTTCAAGAGGATTGAAAGACCGTTCATTCTGCAGAAGGACTTGTTTCAGTTCCTCTAATTCAGCATGCTCTTTGGCATACATCCTCTTCAAGTTTTCTACATGCTGAATCATCACTTCAACTGCTTTACTAACCCGGCTTTCCTAGCAAAAGAAAAATGAGCACATTTATATTGAAAATACTATTCTCAATTCTCAATTAAAAGATGGTAATTAAACACACTTACCTTCATTCCATTCCTAAATCCCACTACAATGGCAATAAATGGTTTAATAAAACAAAGACATGCATCTACAAGGGCAAACAGAAGAAAATATGACAACAAGACTTTGAAAGCTGGATAGAAGGACTAGTGGCAAATGACTATGAGGTAGAAAAGCTGAACCCTAAAAAAGGCAGTAAGAAAAGCCTAGAAGCTTCCTAGGTTGCACCTCAGTAAGGTTGAAGGTGGGTATGTGAACAAAAGAAACGGTTGAAAGTCTATGTTAAAAAAAAAAAAAATTAGATCCAGAGATCCCCTCCGTACTCTAGCCAGCCCAGCAATTTTCCCTCCACTATTTTGGTGAAAGACTATATGCAGTTGGCTATCTAGAGAGAGTTAACTTGAGGTTCTACAGATTGGGAAACAACAGTTGATGATGGATCTATCATGCTGAAAACAACAGATTTAAGCAAAAAATCTATATTCATATTGAATGTTAAGATCCAGCCTTATTCCTCCTCCTTCCAGCTTCCAAACACTGGCAGCCGGAGTTACACCCTCAAGGCAGGCAGTTGGAAGATTTTTCTGTGGTGATTCTAACATACTGAGATAAAAGTCCTATAACTGCTGACATTAGGAGTACCCCCAGTGAAACATTTTGAATGTTCATAGTGCTATGAATATTTGTGTACAAGTATCTGAGTGCCTGTTTTCAATTCTTTTGGGTGTATGTCTAGGAATGGAATTGCTAAGTCATATAGTAATTCTATGTTTAACTTTTAAGGATCCACCAAACTGTGTTCCACAGTGGCTGAACCATTTCACATCTCCCAGCAATGTACAGTGTTTGCATTCTCCCCACATCCTCACCAACACTATTCCTTCTTTGCTTCCTCCCTCCCTCCCTTCTTCCTTCCCACCTTCCTTCCTTCCTTCCTTTATTCTTTCACAATAATCATCCTAGTGGGTATGAAGTGGTATCTCATTGTGGGGTTTTTTTTTTGTTGTTGTTGTTTTTTTTTTGAGACAGAGTCTTGCTCGTCACCCAGGCTGGAGTACAGTGGCATGATCTTGGCTCACTGCAATCTCTGCCTCCTAGGTTCAAGCAATTCTCCTGCTTCAGCCTCCCAAGTAGCTGGGACTACAGGTGCACACTACCACGCCCAGCTAATTTTGGTATTTTTAGCAGAGATGGAGATTTGACCATGTTGGCCAGGCTGGTCTTGATTCCTTGACCTTGTGATCCACTTGCCTCTGCCTCCCAAAGTGCTGGGATTACAGGCATGAGCCGCCGCGCCCAGCCGCACATCCTTTCAAACCACAGTAAGACATTGGTTTTTACTCTAAGTGAGGAGGTTTAGGACATTGAACCAAAAAGTAACATAATCTACATTTTAAAAATGTAATGAGTGACTTAATATATTCCAAATAGACTATTAAAATTTTCTAATCAGCATTTTCTAAAGTTTAAAGTATTTTGGCTGCTTTATTAAGAACAGACTATGTTGGGGTGAAGGTCTGGGATTGGATGGAAGCAAGGAGACCATAGAAACCTGTTTCTGGACAAAATGGAATGGAGGCTGAGATCAAGATGGTAGCAGTAGAAAGGGAAATATGTGGTTGAATTTTGAATGTATTCTGACAGTTCAGCCAATAGGATTTTCTGTAGGATTTCATGTGAAGTGAGAGAGAAAGGTGTTGAGAATTACTCCAGCTGCCTCTGTCCCCATTTTGGCCTGAGCAACTGAAAGGACAGAGCTGCCCTCGAGTGAAGTAAGGCGCCTACACATGGAGTAGGTTTGGTGGAGGACCATGAACAGTTCAGTTTTGAATGTTAGGTTTGAGTTTATCAAACATCCAATTGGAATTGTTGAGTCAGCAGTAGCATATTCTGGTCTGGAGCTCAGGGGAGTGGCTTAGGCTAAACATAACGACTTTGAGAGTCCTCAGCTGACTGCCTGGGATCACAGGCGGACTGCATGCACATGGAGATCAAATGCGCACGAATGGAGTCCTGGGGCTCTTCGATATTCAGAGGTCCAGGAGAAGGTGCAGAACTGCAGGAAGCCTGGAAGGAGCAGCCCGTGATGTAGAGAAAGGTCAGGGGATATGGTACCTGGAAGCTAAATGAGGAAAGCATTTCCAGGAAGAGGAAGACATCAGCCACGACAGATGAGGACTGAGAAACTGAGGTTGGTAATGTGGAGGCCACTGGTGACCTTGGCAAAATCTGCTTTGTGGAAGCAAAAAGTTGATTAGAGTGGGTTTGAGAGAACTTGGGAGGAGGGCGACTGAGCACAGTGAGTACCATTCTGTCGAAGTTTGCTGTAAATGGGAGCAGAGAAACAGCATGGTGGCCAGTATGGAAAGGATGAAAGGTTATTTTGTTTGTGTTTGTTTTATGTTATTATTCCCATCTAGAAAACAACATATTATTTGTGTGCTAATAGAAATAGTTCAGTAGAGTGGAGAAAAGAGAAATGGAGAAAAGTCAGGAGAATTTGGCTCCATGCCCCTGAGTAAATTAGTGGGGAAGGCTCCCATGTTTGGGGGGAAGGCTGGCCTTGGATAGGGTTAGAGACAATGTATCTTTAAGAACAGGAGCAAGGCAGAGTGTAAGGGTTCACACGCCGGGAGGCTCAGGGCTTGTGGCAGTTTCCTTTGATTGTTCCAGTTTCCTCAGTGAGGTAGGAAGCAAAGTCATTACCTGTGTTTGAGAGAGAATATGGGGAAGGACATGACAGTGGTTTGAGGAGAAAGGAAAAGGTGTGAAATTGATATTTAAAAGAGAAGGAGGGTGAGTGAAGGGAAGCCCCAAGGACCCGCTTGAGGTTTGTGATAATGAATTTAAAGAGAAACAGGGCAGTATGGGAATGTGGCATTTTCTAGCTATGCAGGCACGAGAGGTGGAGAAGCAGATTCACTTGCAGATTCGCCCAATAAGTAAGATAAAACATGAGAAGGAAAAGTGTTGAGGGGTCATGCAAGGTAGTGAAAACTATGTTTAACCGTGGAGTATAAGCTTGGCCAGGAAAGCAGGGTGGCCAACTGTAGCGTGAGGGACCGTGAAAAGGTGGGTGGGAGGGGGGTGGGCAGAGATTGATAAAATAACTAAATATTCATCTGCATAGTGGGAGAGCAACAGATAATACCTAAAACTGAAAATAAATCTCTAAATGATAGCATGAGCACGTTATTTAAAAATGTGAATGCAAATACAAAACAAATAGACAAAAGAATTGAAAGTTGTTTCTCTAGATCATGGGAAATTAGGCTTATAGAGCTGATTGACCTTTTAAAATAACTCTGGGCATATACAATTTTAGTAAAAATGAAACAAATAATAACAGTATTCTCTAGTGAGGGGTTAAAAGGGAACTAAGGAGCAAAAATGTATAACGAATGATCAAACTAAAATTAACACCACAATTAAATTTCTCCTTCTTAAGAAAATATATTTTTACAAATCTGCTTAGGTATAGATTAAAAAAAAATCATATCTCCCTAGGTTTGTCCACAAGGAAATTTTGGAATTCTGCTTCTCTAAGGACAAGTACACACAGACGCATATACAAGGATACTTACTGTAGCATTGTTTATAACAGAAAAATATCAAGAACATCATGAAATGATTACATATAAGGAATTGGTTAAATAATTTATAACCATTCAACCAGTAGAATACCATAAAATGGTGATGTGTGTGTATATATTTATATCACACAGAAAGTTGCCTATGTTATATGAATAAAAACAGATTATAACACTATATAAGGGATTATAAACACTATAATACTATGTATCTTGAAGAATATCACAAAATTTGTATGATTGTCACTGGCTTGTGTTATTAGAAGAGTTTTTTACATTTTTATTTGTATATTCCATTTTCTTCTATATTAAACACTTACGTGTTATACAACAAAAGTATTTTTTAAAACTTATTCCTAGAAATGAAAAATCAATAGTCTCAGGAAAAATGAATCTTTTTGTAATTTCATTCTAACTAGAGAAGTGAAGACAGGTTACCTGATTGATGGCTCCCAACATCTCAGCCCTACTGGCCACTCGAGCTGTGCACTGGCTAAGAAACTTTATACTCTTCTCCAGCTTCTTAATGATTTCCTGTGCCTGGTTGTCATCTTCACACAGAGGTGTTAAAGACTGTACAGAAAACAAGCATATTAAAAGATATCCAACACAAGTGTTCAGCAAGTGAGTCTAACACTGCCTAAGTCGGAAATGTCAACGACATTCTAATCTCAGTTATTTTGGTGGAGGATGAAACGAAGCAGCAAAGACCGATAGTGAATGATACTGATACATTATTATCTTTGTTGGCTACTGGGTAGATATATGCAGGTGATCACAAATCTTTTATTTCTATTCTTGATCCCTTATTTCTTTACTTCCCAAATTTGCCACTTCCTTATATGCATTCACATCGTTCTTCTACAGCTAATAGGATGGGCTGCAATTAATTAGTAATGGTAAAGGGATTATGCTTATAAATGAGGTGAAGGTATCATAAGAGGATCATAGGTTGAAATTTTGAGAAATGTAACCAAACATATTGGAATTAAAAATGTCTCTGACAACTATGCTTGTTCTTCCACAGACGATAAGGTATGATTGGGCCAGGTAGTTGGGTATACATTCATTGCCTGATGAATTTTCTTCTCAATCCTGTGCCCTTTATTCAAGATGACACCCTTCCTGATGAACATCTTTCTCACCAGAGTACAGACAGGATTAAGTGAATAACAGATTTGGAAGCAGACAAGACACTGCTCATAACCTATGTGATTGTAAGCAAATGTCTAAAACTTTCCCAAATCTAAAACAACATGAATTATAAAAGATACCATGATTTTGTATATCATTAAGAAAGAAAAAGTTGTCAATGAAACCATTAGGCACCATTGACTGTAAATTGCATCATAATTTTAGAAATGTTAAAAAAAAATCAATCTTTCTGATTTGCTGTTTCGTCATCTGTCAGATGGAGACAATCACATATCCTCTCCAGGAATACTGTCATATGAGAGGTAAAAGATGCCAACTGCTTGTTGCACATTTGTGCTCAATGAAAGACAACCACTTTTGAAATACACAGATCTGTATAAATTGTAGTTAGAGAGTTTCTAACCAACTAGAATGGCAATTGTCAGACATGCAGTTTCTTACAGTGGTTTAAACCACCATCTCCAGTCGGGAAGGAAAGAACAGATGTGAATTGTTAGCAAACAGAGTATGGTCAACCAGGATTAAGCCATGAAGAAATAAGAGAATCTGAACAAACCCATAACTAGTAAGAAGATTGAATCAGTAATCAAAAATCACCCAACAAAGAAAAATCCATGACTGAATGGCTTCACTGAGGAATTCTACCAAACATTTAAAGAATTAATGCCAATCTTCATAAAACTCTTCCCAAAAATTGAAGAAGAGGAATACTTCCAAGCTCATTCTATGAGGTCCACATTACTTCTTTAATACCAAAGCTAGAAAAAGATGTTACAAGAAAAAAAAAAAAAAGCTACAGACCAATATCTCTGAAAAATATTAATGTAAACATTCTCAACAAAGTAGTAGTAGACTGAAATCAACAGCACATTAAAAGGATTATACATCATGTACAAGTAGGATTTATTTCTCTAATGTAAGGGTGAAAATCAATCAATATAACATACCACATTAACAAAAAGGAGGACAAAAACCATATGATCATTTAAACTGATGCAGAAAAAGCATGTGGTAAGATTGAACACTTTTATGATTAAAAACACAAAAACTAGGAATACTAACAAAAAAATACACAAAAAACACCAAGATTATTTTTACTATGTCACTTAAGTGCTAATTTTAAAAAACTAGAAATAGAAGAAAATTACTTTAACATAATAAAAGCTATATATGAAAACCCTACTACAATCATACTCAATGGTGAAAGACTGAACGCTTATTCCTCTAAGGTCAGGAACAAGGCAAAGATCTCACTCTCACCACTATTATTCAACATAGTCCTGGAAGTTCTGATCAGAACAGTTAGGCAAGGAAAATAATGAAAAGTTATCCACTGAAAAGAAGAAGTTAAATTATTTCTGTTTGTAGATGACATGATTTCATAGTAAACACTAAAAAAATTCCACCAAAAAACCTGTCAGAACTAATACACACATTCAACAAAATTGTAGGGTACAAAATTAACATAAAAAAGTTAGCTGTCTTTCTGCACACTAACAATTTCCAAAAAGGAAATTAAGAAATCAATTCCCTTTACAATAGCATCAAAATGAGTAAAATACTTAGGAATAAACCTAAGGAGAAAAAAGAATTGTATGCTGAAAACTGAAAAACATTGCTGAAAGAAACTAAAGACACAAATAAATGGAAAGACATCATGTGTTCATGGGTTGGTAGACCTAATTTTGTTATCTATACTACCAAAAGTGATCTACAGATTCAAGGCAGTCTCTCTTAAAATCCCAAGGGCATTTTTTGCAGAAATAGAAAAATTTATTCCCAAATTAATATGGACTCTAAAGGGACCCTGATAACCAAAATCCTTTTGAAAAAGTAGGACTCCCCCTTCCTAATTTTAAAACATATTACAATGCTAAAATGATTAAAACAGTGTAATACTGGCATAAAACAGACATATAGAGTAATGGAATAGAATTAAAAGCCCAGAAATAAGTGTATATTAATGAATGATCTTCAACCAGGTGCGAAGAATGCACAATGAGGAAAGGGTGGTCTCTTTAACATGATGTTGCTGAGAAAACTTGATATCCACATGCAAAAGAATGATGTTGGACACTTATCTTACATCATATATAAAAATTAACACAAAATGGATTATATATCTAAAAGTAAGACCCCAAACTAGAAAACTCATAGACGAAAACATAAGGGAAAAGCTTCAAGACATTGGATTTCGCAATGATTTCTTGGATATGACACCAAAAGCACAGACAACAAAAGTGAAAATAGACAAATGGAACTACATGAAATTTAAAAGTCTTTATGCATAAAAAGACCCAGTCAACACATTCTATAAGTTACAACAAAAAGTAACTTATAGAATGGGAGAAAATATTTTCAAACTATACAACTGATAAGGGGTTAATCCACAATATATAAAGAACTCCTGCAACTCGACAATTAAAAAATCCAAATAACTCAATTTAAAAATGGAAAGAGAGTGGCCTGATAGCCCTGCCACATTGAGTGGAGGCTCCCAGGCATGCAGGCCCATGATAATTAAAGAATGATAATCAAAGAACATTTTATGAAGATCACATTCTGTGAAAGATAAGGCTGATCAAAACTGCAAGCCTGCCAGTGTGTTTGATTTTCCCAATAATTCTGCTGTCTCAAGAAGATACAAATAAATGGAAAGATATCCTGTGTCTTGGTGAAAATGAGAAAGATGAAGAACCTTATGAAACCTTTGATCCTCCTTTACACAGCCCGTCTATGTATGCCAATGAAGAATTCTCCAAATATTATGGATTATCTATCCCTTCAACTCCTCCAGGAAAAGAAGAAAAAAGAAGCTCGAGCACTTCTGAAAATGGAAGGAAGTGAAAACAAATCTGTAAAAATGAGTGCAGAAAAGCCAGGAAGAAAACTCAAACCCATTTGCGATGAGTCTGAAAGCACTGAAGAAAGTGATGTGAGAAAAGTTAAATCAGTGGAGAAAATAAGGACCAACAACACGAGCCTATTCTAACCACAGCATCTTCAGACCTTTCAGAGAAACCAGCTGACTCAGTCACTTCTAAAAGATAGGACCCATTAGTGTCAAGCCTTCTGTTGAAAAAGACAAACTGACAACAGAAGGTCAAGCAAAAACTCGGAAAAAAGGAAATACATCTTGTGGCAAAAGGAAGAAATCAAGAAGTAAAGCCATAGGCTTAGATATTTCCAACATCGTGCATATTTGGTGTCTAGAAGGAAAGAAAATCAATGACATCATGGAATTGAATATTGCTTGGCCTGCATTTGAGAAAACCCTCATCCAGTATAAACACAGAATAGAATCTAAAGTTTGTAAGAAAGCCATCAATAAATTTTATTTTAATATTAAAGAAGAACTCATAAAAATGCTTAAGGAAGTCCAGATACTGAAAAATCTGGAAAGGAAGAATGCTGAGATGATTTCAGATACCAAAAGAAAAGACAGTGTTTGACCGAAGGCCAGGATGAACTGCTTTGGTTAGAGCCACAACTGAAGCAACTACAAACAAAATATTAAGAACTTAAGGGGAGAAAAGTCTTCCCTTAGGAATGCAGCTATTTCTTATCTAATTGAAAACAGCTTTATCAGAAGTATTCAGATGTTCAGGAGAAAGAACCACACATAAAGGAAACATGATTCATCCAAACTCCCAGGTCTGTTATTTAAAGCAAGAACAATTTTGGGAGCTGAAAACTATCGGTAAAATATCAGCCATCAATGAGAAAAGCTACCAGGTAAGATACCAGTCTACTAAAATGAGCCTATAGAAAGATTAGACTCATTCTACTATGCTACCTTCTGAAACTGTAATTTCTTTTTTTTTTTTTGAGATGGAGTCTTGCCATCACCCAAGATGGAGTACAATGGCGCAATTTCGGCTCACCGCAACCTCCACTTCCCAGGTTCAAGCAATTCTCCTGTCTCAGCTTCCCGAGTAGCTGGGATTACAGGTGCATGCTACCATACCCAGGTTCTTTGGTTTGTTTGTTTTTGAGATGGAGTCTCTCTCTATTGCCCGGGCTGGAGTTGGAGTGGCACTATCTCAGCTCACTGTAACCTTCACCTCCTGAGTTCAAGTGATTCCCCTGCCTTAGGGTCCCAAGTAGCTGGAACTACAGGCACCCACCACCAAACCTGGCTAATTTTTGTATTTTTTGTAGAGACGGGGTTTCACCATGCTGGCCAGGCTGGTCTCAAACTCCTGACCTCAGGTGATCTGCCCAGCTTGGCCTCCCAAAGTGCTGGGATTACAGGTGTGAGCCGTCGTGCCTGTCCCCAGTTAATTTTTGTATTTATAATAGAGAAGGGGTTTCACCATGTTGGCCAGGCTAATCTCGAGCTCCTGACCTCAGGTGATCTGTCCACCTCAGCTTCCTGAAGTGCTGAGATTACAGGAGTGAGCCACTGCACCCAGCCCTGAAACTGTATTTTTATAAATAAATTTTTTTGCAAAGAAAATAGGAAAAGGACTTTAATAGACATTTTTCTGAAGATGATATACAAATGGCCAACAAGCATAGAAAAGATGCACAATGTCATTAATCATTAGCGAAATACAAACCAAACCACAAGAAGATACCACCTTACACCCATTAGGGTGATGACCATAAAATCAAACAGAATATAACAAGTGTTGGTGAAGAGCTGGAGAAACTGGAACCTTGTGCACTGTTGGTAATAATGTAAAATGATATAGCAACTATGAAAAACAGTACAGTGGTTTCTATAAAATTAAAAATAGAACTGTATGATCCAGCAAGTCCACTCCTGAGTCCAGATATACTCAAAAGAACTGTAAGCAGGGTCTCCAAGAGATATTTGTACACCTATGTTTCAAACAGCGCTATTCACAATAGTCAAGAAGTGGATGCAGTCCAAATGTCCATTGATGGATGAATAGATAAGCAAAATTTGGTGGATACATGAGAATATTTTTGAGCCTTAAAAGGGAAGGAAATCCACTCACATGCAATATTATGGATAAGCCTTGAAGACATTATATTAAGTGAAATAAGCCAGTTACAAAAGACAAATACTATATAAATCTACTTATGTGAAGTCCCTAAGGTAGTCAAATTCATAGAATCAGTAGGATAATGGTGACCAGGGGATGGGGTAAGGCGGAAAAGGAAAATTAACAAGTAGAGAATTTCAAGATCTATTTTGCAACAATATAAATAAACTTACACTATTGAATTGTACACTTGAAAATGTTCAAGACGGTAAATTTTATATCATATAATTTATCACAGTAAAAAATAACATGATTCTTTTCCATGGTTTCTCAATTTTAATATCCTTCATCCAAAATTAAGCCTACTAATCTTCCAGCTCATCTCTAGATGTATGGTAACTTCACCATGTGGAAGAATAATAGTTGTTACACTCCTGTGCACCCCCATTCTTCTCTCAGTACCCTACATCAGGCTTGCCCATCATCTGGAAGACTGAATCAGTTACTATTTTCTTTCCTCAGTTAATCATAAATGGAAATAGCCTCGATTCTCTTCTTGAAGCTTAAAATTGATATTATTTCCTATTGCCCAGTTTTCTGCCCGATTCCTCTTCTGCCTGAAATTTGAAAATCCTGAGAAAAGGCAGATGACTCATGCATCTACTTTAAAAAGACATTTTTCATTTGATTGCTGATACTCTTTTATTAGTGAAACTTTTATTTCAGCCTGATCCTGAATTCTTATTCTCTATTCACATTTGGCTCAGGAAGAGCTTCATACCTGGTGCTGGTTTGGGTCATACATGTAATTGCATATGTAATTATGAAAATGTTATTAAAAATATGACCAAATGTTTTCTGTGGGTGTTTTTTGTTTTGTTTTTGAGACAGGGTCTCGCTCTGTCACCCAATCTGATGTGCAGTGGTGTGAGCATAGCTCCCTGCAGCCTCCAACTTCTGGGCTCAAATGATCCTCCAGCCTCAGCCTCCCAAGTAGCTGGGACTACAGGCATGCACCACCACACCTGACTGATTGTTTTGTTTTGTTTTTGGTAGAGATGGGGTCCCACTATGTTGCCCAGGCTGATCTTGAACTCCTGGCCTCAAGTCATCCTCTTACCTCAGCCTCCCTAAGTGCTGCGATTATAGGTGTGAGTCACCGTGCCTGGCTAGACCAAATGTCTACACCCCAAATGTTCTTATTCTCACCTCTAATAGTTTTAAACAGTTAGTGATTTCTTTCTTCAAATTTTCTTCTGCCAAGTCACGGGACCTCTCTTCAAGCTTCACTCTCTTCTCCAAGGTAAACCAGTCACACTTAAATCCCAAAGATAATCTGAGAAATTCTGCCTGTTGTCAAAATAATGTGAGGGTGAGGAGAGAAAAATTGATGTGGTCAGATGTTTCAGTTTAATGCTGTTTTATACAGAGGCAACATAATGCTAACACGCACAGGCTTCACCTGCACTGAGTCACTGCCAAGCCAAACAGCCACTGACCATAAGAGAGCTTGTGCAATAGCATGAAGTGACTGTAGCAGGTGAGTCTGGAACATTTTTTTTTTCCTTTAGATGAAATCTCACTCTGCCACCAGTCTGGAGTGCAACGGCATGATCTCGGCTCCCTGCAACCTCTCCCTCCCAGGTTCAAGTGATTCTTCTGTCTCAGCCTCCCGAGCAGCTGAGATTACAGGCATGCACCACCACACCCAGCTAATTTTTTGTATTTCTAGTAGAGACAGGGTTTCACCATGTTGGCCAGGATGGTCTCGATGTCCTGACCTCATGATCTGCCTGCCTCGGCCTCCCAAAGTGCTAGGATTACAGGTGTGAGCCACCACGCCCAACCTGGAACACTTTTTTAAAAGGAAAAAAAAGAATTTGCTTTAAACTCACCTCAACCTCCTTCTCATTAGCAGAAGTGCTGTAGGATAAGATAAAAAACATATTCAAACATAATCCAACAGAAAAATAAAACCTGTTAACATGCTACATGAAGAAGCACTTACTTGTCACTTTGTCTAAAGTTAACTGATTTCACAGTGGTTACAGGAAGAAGGGAAACTGCAGACTCTATTAAAAGACAATAAAATGTTATTTGGGTAAAAAGGCTTAACATGTAAAAGCATGTCTGATCTAATGTATCTCCACTAAACAAAGGTGTTTCATTTAAATGTGTCTGACATGATAGCCAGCTAATAACGTTTGCACTTGAATTATGTTATGCTAAGCTACTTGGATCAAAATGACATTAAAATCATTGGTTTATACCTCAGCATGTGAATAGTCTTTCAGATTTAAAGATGTGTCAGAATCAAGCAACAGCCCAATTTGTTCTCTTTGCATTTGCATGGTTTTTTTGTTTGTTTGTTTTTTGAGATGAAGTCTCACTCTTGCCGTCCAGGTTGGAGTGCAATGGCACAATCTTGGCTCACTGCAACCTCTGCCTCCTGGGTTCAAGCGATTCTCCCACCTCAGCCTCCTGAGTAGCTGGGATTACAGGCGCCCACCACCACACCTGACTAAGTTTTTTATTTTTAGTAGAGATGGGGTTTCATCATGTTGGCCAGGCTGGTCTTGAACTCCTGACCTCAGGTAATCCACCCACCTTGGCCTCCCAAAGTGCTGGGATTACAGACGTGAGCCACCGTGCCTGGCCTGCATGTTTGTTATGCTTGATCCCATGGCAAAAGCCTAAACCTCCTGCTGGTGTCCTGGTTCTTCTTTGGATCAAGGCTTTATTAGCAGTAGCAAGAATAGTAGTAGTAATAATACTGGTAACAATAACAGTGACAATAAACATGGCATCAACCATGGCTTTATTATATTGCCAGGGCCAGAGCAAAGCACTTTACACATATGATTTTATGACAACTTTACCAAGGACAATGCATTAGTTATTAAGAGCATTGGATTTAAAGTCGAACAAACTTGGTTTAAATCCGAGCTTTGATTCTTAGTTATGTGAGAATACTATTTATAATAGTAGCTAACTTTTATGAGAGCTTTTGCGCCAGGCACTTTTCTTTTTTTCTTTTTAACTCTCTTGGCCTGGCTAGAGTGCAATGGTGCAACCTTGGCTCACCGCAACCTCCACCTCCCAGGTTCAAGTGATTCTCCTGCCTCAGCCTCCTGAGTAGCTGAGATTACAGGCACGTGCCACCACGCTCAGCTAATTTTTGTATTTTTAGTAGAGATGGGGTTTTGCCATGTTGGCCAGGCTGGTTTTGAATGCCTGACCTCGTGATATGCCTGCCTCAGTCTCCCAAAGTACTGTGATTACAGGCGTGAGCCACTGCACCTGGCCTGTGCCAGCCATTTTTCTAAGTGCTTCATATATATTAATTTAATCAATCCTCACAGCGAACCTTCTGTTGTAGATATTTTACAGGCTACATAACTGAATTACAAGTTCACCACTTCACATAGTATTTGGAGGACTAAATAAAACTAGGCACATGAAGTTAACCTAGTTCTTAGCATAGAATATATTCGCAGTTAAGTGTACTTTTCTTCTCTTCATTTTCCTCTTGCAAATGAGAAAATTGAGACTTGAGGTTAAATAACTTTCCAAGATCACGTAGCTAGTCAGAGATTGATCCCCATGTAGAATCTCTATGACTCCAAAGCCTGAACTCTATTCACTATTCCATCCTAATGGAGACAGGCTAAGGAGGAAAGCATACTAGCACTTATTCTGTAAATAGTGGCTTTACTTTTAGATGGGATACTAAAAAAAGAACTCAAAGGAGAGACAGCATTTGCTACAAGTATTGGCTTGATCCTTAGTTCACAGTAGAGCACGAGTTATGACAAGTTTTCTGGGATCAAACAGTCAACGTGGCTTTTTAAAAATGATACCAATGGAATCAATAATTGGTCCTATTTGCTGACCTTAACTAGAGATGCAGAATTTGTAGGTGACATACCTTTCCTCAGACAGACTTCACCCACAAAAATTGCAGCACAGAACAAAAGTTCACATGGGGATTGTGAGAAACATCCCTTACCTCCTGAAGCACGTTCTTTTTTATGTTCTTCTCTTGTTTCCGGTTTCTCTTTGGCTTCCTAAAATCATAAGGAGATTTTATTGCTGTACATAGAGTGGAAATCCTTCATAACCAGTCATTTTCCTACTTCCTGTCCTCTCCTAAGCCTATTCTGACAAAAGCACTCTACAACAATACTCCCCAGTCTTTTTGGTACCAGGGACCAGTTTCCTGGAAGATAATTTTTCCGCGGGGGTGGAGTAGCAGTCGGGTGGGGGGAAATAGTTTCAGGATGAAACTGTTCCACCTCAGATCATCAGGTATTAGATTCTCATAAGGAGCATGAAATCTAGATGCCTCGCTTGCATAGTTCACAATAGGGTTTGTGCTCCTATAAGAATCTAATGCCACTGATTTGACAGGAGGCGGAGCTCCGGTGGTCCTGCTCCCTGGCCTGCTCTCACATCCTGCTGTGTGGCACAATTCCTAACAGGCCACAGATGGGTTCTGATCCCTGGCTCAGGGGTTGGGGACCCCTGCTCTATAGTATTTAAAGCTGTTAAGAAGGAAATAAAATTGGCTGCAAGAGGGCTTCCAATCTAGTTGAAGCAAAAACATGAAAAGATACAAACATGACTCGAATTACAATAATGCAAACCAGGATTCATTGCCAAATAAATGAAATAAATAAACAAGTGTTCTGAATAGGAAGGAGATGGCCAGGCATGGTGGCTCAAGCCTGTAATCCCAGCACTTGGGTGGTTCACCTGAGATCAGGAGTTCAAGACTAGCTTGGCCAATATGGCGAAACCCAGTCTCTACTAAAAATACAAAATTAGCAAGGTGTGGTGGTGTGGGCCTATAATCCCAGCTACTTGGAAGCTAATGCAGGAGAATCGCTTGAACTCGGGAGGCAGAGGTTGCAGTGAGCTAAGGTCATGCCACTGAACTCCAGCCTGGGCAACAGTGTGAGATTCCATCTCAAAAAAAAAAAAAAAAAAAAAAGGAAGGAAGGAGAGTGGCACCATGACACCATGACTTGAGTAGCATTGTCTGCAGACAAGGAACGTGCCACAGACTGATGAAGAGGTAGGACTGGATGGCTAAAGAGGTGATATGTAGGTGATACAGGACTATCACATGTGGCTTTCTAGATAGGTTTTTGGAGAAATTGTGACAAAGATGGCTGCTAAGACAGTGTTATGTTAGGCTTTTAGTGCATATAGACGTGTTTTAAGGTCACATAAGGAGTTGTGTGTGGCTGCTGTTTCCAGTTCTTTCCTCTCCCATTCATGATCAATTACCTATTCCACCCTTTTATGCAACACTGCAAGGAAAGTGTTCTCACCAGCTATCTGAACTCCTATTGCCAAATCCCGTGGATAATTTTTAGTCTTGATCTTACTTGACCTTACTATAGCATCTAAAATGATCTATACATCCCTTCTTGAAGAGTTTTTCCCCTCGATTTCCTTCTTATGAAGCCTCAGCCCCTCATCACTGCAACAGCCCCTCCTCAGCCTCCTCTGCCTTCGCTAGTAGCTATTGTTAGCCAGGATTCCATTATCTTCAATGCTCCCTTCCTTCCTGCCACAGTCCCTGGGAAATCTCATCCACACACTTGGGTTTTTGCTGGTAACCCACAAATATGTGTCTGCTTTCAAAAGCGGCACAGGTGAGTTTATGAATATGAGTGTGTAGCCACATTAAAATCTGCTTACAGACTATTGATGTGTCAGATCAGTCTGAAATTTGACTTGTCTGAAATTGATCTTATTTTACCCCACAAATTCTACTCTTCCTCCTCCTTCTCTACTGCCATGTTATTCTATTCATTCTGTAGGTTGAGCCATCAGTCTGGGTATCTACCTTTTCCCAAACCCCTGACATGACATCATTCTCTGTGAATTCTACCTCTTAATAGTTCTCAAATGTATCTCCTCTTCTGCACCTTCACTAAATTCATACCACCTTCATCTCATCTAAATTATTGCCATAGTATTCTAACCAGTCCCACCATCTCCAATGGCAAATCGATCCATTATTTTAAAAAGTGTCTTTATGTCTGTATTTTTTTGAGATGAGAAGGAATTTTCTCAGAAGAGTCTACTATGAAAGACTAAAGGACTTGAATTTTCCTCTGTTCATTTTTTCCTAGGGACAACCATTTTCAGCATATGTACTAGCCAACACTATATCCTACTCCTACCTATACAGCTGGCCCTCTGGATGTGTGGGTTGCATCTATGGATTTTTAAAAAATTGTAGTTAGGTCAACAATGAGTGTATCTATACTGAACACACAGATTTCTTGTCATTATAACTATTAACATAGCATTTACACTGTATTAGATATCATAAGTAATCTAGATATGATATAAAGTATGTAAGAGGATGTGTTAGTAATACAAGATGGGGGCAGGGAAGTGCTAGACAGAGAAAGGCAGGGTCCCTGGTGAGGGTTCCACCCTCAGGCCTGTGCCCACAGACCTAAATGAGAACAAGCACTCCTGTTTTTGTGCCTTAATGTTGCATTTTCGAAGACCACTCTGGCTCACCACACCCCTCATCCTGTGACAACATAAACCTGAGACCTTAGCGGGCACACAACACCAGCAGACCAGGAGACTGGCAGACTGGCAATGTTGGAATGACATAGCAGATAAAAAGAGACTAGGAGGGATGTCTGGACATGAAGGGGAGTTCAGCCTGGGACAGTCAGGGAAGAGTCTGGCCTCTGGGCAGCCCGACTCCAGGGGAATAGCACCTTCCCACTCCATCCCCCTTTCCAGCTCCCCATCCATCTCACTGAGAGCCACCTCCACTACTCAATAAGCCTTGCCCTCATCCTTCCAGCTGGTGTGTGATCAAATTCTTTTGGGACACTCGGCAAGAGCTCAGGATGCAGAAAGCTGTCACATTGGCTGTCTGTCCTTGTGATAAGGCTGAGGGTCCATTGAGCTAATTAACACACAAACTGTCTGCAAATGACAAATCTGAAAGAGCTTTGTAACACACACCCACTTGGACTTTGGAAATCACACTCACCCCTAGACGCTAGCTGGGGGCCAGAGCCCAAAAGCCCTCACCCTGGCCTCTATACCTGCCAGTCTGCATGCTCCTAGGGGTTTGAGCTGTGGGGTGACCAGGCAGGCGAGCCACACCACTTTTGCACATACTGCAAGGAGAATCAGGAAACTCTCCTGTTTCATTAGGTTATATGCAAATACTATGCGATTTTATATAGGAGACTTGAGCATTCTCTGATTTTGCTATCTGAGGCAGTCTTGGAATCAAGGATTACGAAGGACACAAATGACATTATGTCATTGTTCCAAATCACATATCCAATCATTTAACTAGCTTCAGAATGAAATGCTGAAAAATTCTCATCTGCTTTCCTGCTCCAAGTCTGTGCCAAGGCCTCCTCTTAACTTGAGTTATCTTGTATGGGTCTCTGTTTTAACGAGGCTTGTATGTTGAGAAGAAATTAACAATACACACACACACACACACACACACACAACTCCACACATACAGAGAGACCAAGATATAAACAAGACCCTTGAAGAATCATGGAATTGGATCTGTAGCTACTCATAAATGATTATTAATTCATAGAAGTGGAAAGAAGTCTTCTTTTTTTTTTTCCTTTTTGAGACAGGGTTTTGCTCTGTTGCTCAGGCTGGAGTACAGTGGTGCAATCATGGCTCACTGCAGCCTAAACCTACTGGGCTCAAGTGATCCATCTGCCTTGGCCTCCCATATAGCTGGGACAACAGTCATGTACCACCATACCCGGCAGATTTGTTTTTATATTTTGTAGAAACAGGGTCTGCCTATGTTACCCAGGCTGGTCTTAAACTCTTAGGCTCAAGCAATCCTTCTGCCTCAGTCTCCCAAAGTGCTGGGATTACAGGCATGAGCCATCACCCTGGCCTTAATGAGATTTTTCTTTAAGGAAAGAATTCTTTTCTCTAATAATTTCTAGCTATACTTATGTTTTATAGAGCTTTACCATGCAACTGTAGAACATTCAATGCCACTCACACGGTACCTCCTCCGTGACATGTTTTCTGGCCTGCAATCTCAAGCATTTTTCCTTTCAAATCACGAAACACACTCTAATTATTAATTATCTGTTTCTTCACCTGATTAGAACATATCATTAGGATAGATATCACTGTTTTATTCAACTTCATTTATTAATGCATTCATTCATTTAAGCAGTCCCCTACAGACAAATAGCTTGTTTCCAATTGACTTTTGATGAATAAATGAGTGAATGAATGAATGAATGAGTGATAAATCAAATTGGAGCTTGGAGGTCCTAGCTCTGACTCTGTTGTATGACCTTGGACAAGTCACAAAAGCACTTTGGCCTCAACTACTTCACCTATAAAATATTAAATTATATGAATTTCATAATATTTTGAAAGGATAAATGAGAGAATACTTTTAAGAGTATTTTGTAAACTTAAAGGGATAGTTCTACCATTGTAAGATATCATCACCTTTGTTGTGAACATGCATATTTCCTTACCAGATTTAATACAGTTTTATCCTTACTCGTAGAGTCTTGGAATGCAGTAATATGAGCTGGACTTGTGCCTATGAGAAACAGGAAACACACAAAACAGTTGGGGGGAGCAGGAACAAGTAAAAGAGGAGAAAATAGTGAGGGTGGCAATATGGACTGACCGGTAACTGACAAAGGTCTTAACATATGAGACAATTATGAACTACAAAAAATGTATATGTGCCTATTGACTCAGAATTGGGATGGAGCAGCTACGGTCAGAGAAGATGTCTTAAAAGAAATCAACGTCTGTATAAATGGCTTTCAAAGAGTAGGATTTTTTAAAAAATCCTTTTTTAGGCTGATGCTGTGTTTTTTAATGGAACACATTACTGGCATAATAAAAAATGGATGGCAGAAAGATGAACAATTAGTAACTTAGTAGCTTTTTAAATAGCTTTACAAGTCTTCTTTCAAAATTATATATGTAAAGCTGATAATAAAAAGTAGGACATCCTTCTAAAACATGGTACCTTTCTAAATAAAATGTCATGAAACTAAGAAGAAAAGATGCACTTTTAACTTGTGCCATTCCTTTTGGTAATTTTTGTTTATTTTTATATACTTTATTTGTACTGATATGTACCGGATAATTATTCTCCTGTTTATTCAATCCATTGTCCTACATTTAGTTCACTGTAGGCACAAAGGTCAGCAGATACAAATATGTTTTAGTATTTAAAGCGTGTATTATATTTGTAAAATTTATATGGAAATAAGAATAAAATGGTAAGCAGTTTCTTCACAGCTATACAATTTTTTTCCCTATGAAAACTTTATTTTAGCTCTTTTTTTTTTTTCAGAGGGTCTCACTCTGCTACCCAGGCTGGAGTGCAATGACTCAATCTCAGCTCACTGCGACCTCTGCTTCCCAGGCTCAAGCGATCCTACCACCTCAGCCTCCCAAGTAGCTGGGACTGCAGCCATGCACCACCACGCCCAGCTAATTTTTGTATTTTTTGCAGAGACGGGGTTTCACCATGTTGCCCAGGCTGGTCTTGAACTCCTGAGTTCAAGAAGTCCTGCTGCCTCAGCCTCCCAAAGTTCTGAGATTATAGGCATGAGCCATGTGACCAGCCTTTAATTTTAAAAAAAATTTAGGGCAAATACTAGATTCATACAGTTCATAAATCAAAGAGTGTAAAAATATTTTACAGTGAAAATTTTTCCTCCCATCCATGACTTCCAGAAATCCAGTTTATGTCCCTAGACACAATGTTATTAATTTTTGTCTAGTTTTCCAGGAGTATTTTATGCATACATAAAAACTTTTTCTTTGAGACCAGCCTAGGAAACACAGTGAGACCCCATCTTCACATTTTTTTTTAATTAGTCGAACGTGATGGCTTGCACCTGTAATCCCAACTACTGAGGAAACTGGGACAGGATAAGGGCTTGAGCCCAGGACTTCGAGGCTGCAGTGAGCTATGATTGTAACACTGCACTCCAGCCTGGGCAACAGAGTAAGGCCATCCCCACCTACGCCAAAACCCAACTTTTTCTATCCTTTTTTAACAAAATTTTGTACACTATACATAACATTCTGTACTTTTTTCCCCAAGAAACAGTAGTCCTTTTATATTATTGTAAGAAAAAAGTCTCCTTATTCATTTTTATGGTGCAAATTAGTATTCGATTACACGGATATGCCAAAATATAATCTTCTATTGGTAAAAATTCTAATTTGTTTCTAACAGTTTGTCATTATAGACAATGCTGCAATATATAAGCTTTTGCATATGTCATCTGGGTTGTGTGTACATGTTATCTATAGGATAAATTCCTAGAAAATGAATAGTTGTATCAATGGATATATACTCCTAACATTTTGATAGCTACTGGAACATTTTTCTTCATATTACAGTACTCCCCAGCCAAGGTTTCACTTGCTGCAGTTTCAGTTACCTACTGTCAACCATGGTCTGAAAATATTACCTACAATAATATATTGTGTGTGTGTGTGTGTGTGTGAGAGAGAGAGAGAGAGAGAGAGAGAGAGAGAGAGAGAGACCACATTCACCTAACTTTTATTACGATATATTGTCAAAATTGTTCTATTACTAGTTATTGTTGTTAATATCGAATTAACAAATTAAACTTATCGTAGGTATGTCTATTAGGCAAAAACATACTGTATATAGGGTTTGGCACTATCATTAGTTTTGGGAAGCCACTGGGGGGTCTTGGAATGTAGCCCCAATGAATAAAATGGGACTGCTATAATTACAAAAAGTTACATTTCCTACAGCACTTTTCTTTTGCCCGTACAACTTTACCAACAGAGTGTAATCAAATTTGTGCATCTTTGTCTATACAATAGGTTAAAAATGGAGCCTTGCTGTATCTTCACTTAAAAGATTTACTTATTCAATGTGAGGTGGAATATAAAGACATTCTGAAATTAACCCATGAAATGGATTCCATTTCGCAATTTTGTGACTATTCTAGTTTAGCACCTACATCTCAAACTTAAATGTTGACTTTAAACAATACGATGAATTTTCGATTTTTTTTTTTTTTTTTTTAGTGGGAATTAGAGCCTATTCCTCCCATTAATGTCCACTAAAGTGGTGTCTCACTGAGAATGGTCAGGAATAACTATTTTGTTTTCAGAGTCAAGTAGCAGAAAAGGACCTAACAAACCACCTGGTTAGTTCTTTTGCCTCGGGGTGGACCATGGCTAATTGCTCCATCCTTCTAACCTAATAAATTTGAACTAGGATTCCAAAAATTTCCTAAGCAGGTGATGTTTCTTCTGTGCCACAGTTGAAAACCAGTAAATTCTAGTCAATATTTGCCATAGGAAATATTTGTCCTGTTACAATATATCATAATTTTTTTTCTGCCTACAAAATTGAAAAAAAAAAGGTACCATCCTTATATGTGAAGCCCATGGTTAGTTACCACTTAGACTTCTTTTCTGCAGACTACATGTTCAAAATTATTTTATAAGAATTATTTTACAAAAAATTAAAATTAATATTATTGAGTTAGTGTGGAGAGCTGCTTCACTAGCTTGTAGACTTGGTTAGTGTTTTACAATGAAAATGATGCTTACACCTGTCAACATTTTACCTTGGGCCTCTATCATCGGAGAAGCTGATCTTGTATCCTCCTCCTTCTTACTGTCGAGGTCACAAGTAGCCATATTCAGAATTTCTAATCCAGGATCTGTCAACAGGAAGAAACAAATGGTGTGAATACTATGCAAAAAGAGTATTTGCCTACCTTCTCATTTGAACACACCCCAGCAGGCCACAGGACATCAGGCTGAAAGCTGTAATACTAACATTCTATTGTAATATTACTTCCAAATCCACTTACCACTTGAAGTTATAGTACTGTCTGTCGATGAAGTGTGTCTGGGTAATGGTAGTGAGGAATGTTCCCTGCCAAAAAGATAGCAAAAATATTTTGGAGTGTCAGGTCCAAATAATTCTCTTAAAACCAATGAAATATGCATACAAATTCACACACACAACACAAACAAGCAAACCTGGACTGCAGCAGGCTCTCAGAACACACGCGTTCAACACCATTCTCCTTAAAGAAAAAGAAAGGAGACATAAGTTCAACGATTTGACATTTTCCATTCCAAAGAAGTTGTTTTAAGCAAACATTTTCATGCAATTCTAAATGAACCCATATTTACTCTGCTCTTTTGGGAATGATATGGGAATGGGATGGTATAAGGCAGATGGATATACACACTTCCTCAAAGCTGTATTTACCCAAAAATCCAATAGTAAGTATATTTACAAGTCTGATATTTAAAGAAAACCTGATAAAAATTTTGGGCAAAACAAATTCTAAACTCAAAGGGCAGATAGGGCTTATTTTGTAAATTTAAGTTTTCTTTAAACAGAAAATTTTACAAAGGCATAAAACATTTCTATGTGTGCGAATATTACTCAACCCAAAGTTTTTGACCTGGTGATTTTAAAACTGCTCTCAGTTTTCTAGTTAGAAAGATCATGCATTTCAAACTTAATCAGTTTCTTAAAGATCTGAAGGATTACATCTAAGTCAGCACCTATTACTTGATGCCCAAAAAGAGCTTATCAAAATTATAGTCGCAGCCTGCCAGGGCAAGTGTTTGAAAGTTTCACATGAACCTCTTAATTTCTACAAGGAATTCCTATTTTTGGGGTAACTTTAGGGCATTAAGGTTGTATAACTTTCTTTTTCAAAAAATACTGTGAGAACATAGTTTCCTTTCTAATAACAGGCTTTTCTAGTATATTATTTTAATTATTTGATTTAGTCCAGAAAATAAATTGAAATTCAATAAATTAAAACTGAAATCATTCAGACATATCGAAAGCCTGCACAAGGTAAAAAGAAGTCATTTAGGTATTCCATAATCAAGCAGAACTTATTAACTGTCACAACCAACAATCAATACCCCTGGGGGAATACTGTATATCACACATGGTATTTAGAATCAATCCAAGAAAGTATCTCCCATAGTCACAGACAAGTACAGATTTACTAAGGGTTTGCTGAATTTGTATTTATTCAGTACAATGATAGCAACTTATATAGGTTTAGCACATTAAAATTTACAAGAGCCCTTTAATGTATCATCTCATTTAATTCTCCCAACAACATTAGTGGTAGGTTTTAGCAAGAAAAGATTTACTTATTGCAGGTAATGAAGTGAAGGCGAGTAAATAAAGTAATTTCCCGAGACCAGTCAGAATGGTGGAGCCAGCTTTCAAACACATATTGAACTAAATACTGTGTCCTCTCCACTGTAAACAAAACCAACTTGGGCATACCCTAACCCAGGCTATTGGAGAGGAAAAGACTTTCCATGATTTTACTATAAACTTGTAAGATGTTCACCTCACATGTTTAGAAAAATCCACAATAAACTTGCAAAGCAAGAATTTATACCTAATACTCCTGTATCAATGATGTTAGTCAACCTTTTTTATTTCATTTTGTCTCTGCCTTAAATGACTTTGGGTCAGATCATACATGACTGATGCTCCTCATGACATCAGTTTAATTTAATTCAACAAACTTTCATCCAAATCCCACTTTGTGCTAGGAACAGTGACAAGGGCTAAAGATTATATACAAAACCACAGCTCTTATCCTGAAGAAGCATGTAGGCCAGGCAGGGAGAGAAATATATAATACAAACACTACTCTATAACTTACAAGCAGCATGCCACAGAGGAAAGTAACATGCACAGAGCAGAATTAACAGAGTGGGGATATCTGAATTTTTTTTTTTTTTTTTTTTTTTT